AGAGCAGAAGAGACAGGGACAGATGGTGGGGATATAGAGGAAGGTCCCATAAGCTACAGCTATGGCAGCTCTCAAGTGCTTTCTTAGCTTCCAGTTTAACTACCTTTTTCCTTTCTGTAAGCTTGTTGGATAGAAATGGGAAACTACTTCTTTCTTTTCCCTTTTCCACTTCTTTTTCTCGTAACACATGATGAGGACAACAAGAGAAGACTACTAAATGTGTTTCATCCAGACTGATGGCACTAAACATGAGTCAGGTGAATAGGTGCTGCATGGGAGAACTACAGAGGCAAGTCATCACACACCTCTGCTTATGGCCATAACATTTTGGGATACAGACTCCAGTCATAAATTAGCCATCCTTAGCGTTCCTGGATCTTCTGGAATACACAAGGGTACCCCAATTTGGGAGTTTACAAAGGTTTTCTACCACATGATACAGTGACTGTATTTTCATTATAAACTACCATCCAGGTAGTCTGATTTGGAAAGTCATGTTCTTGCTGCCACAGTTTGGGAAGATTTCAGTACAACCGATTTCATTTGAGCACAGCCAGGCTATACTAGAGATGTGAAATTTCAGGGGCAATATTCACACTTGTTCCCTTAGAAATGCGTGAGGACAGGGTTATCAGCACCCAACTCAACAGTCTCCAAATTGTAGACTGGAGGCAGTCACGGACTGGGACCTTGGCTTGCCATCAGAGGCACAAAGGTAAATGCAAGGACCTTGGAAAGGATGACTCTCAAGTTTAAATACCTGGGCCAGCTGTGGCATATGAGAAAATTCTTGAAAGACAGTAGGAGAAGACAGGTTAGGTAGGTAGGATACTACCTGGCATTCGTCTTATTTGCTACCATGATCTTAAAGACAAATTCAGTTAAACTAATGACATTATTAATAAAGAATTATTGGAAACTCACAGATTTTTCATATTAAACTAATAAAAATATCAAGACATCAAATTTTATTTCCTATCAAGCTGTGCTATTTCCTATCTGTGGAACCTGAAAGGAAAACTGCCTATGTCCTATCAAACTTCATCTATCAGAAAGGAGATGCAGCAATACTACTAGTTATAGACAGGAACTTAAAAAGTCATCATTTGAATATAAACAATACTCAAAAAATGAGTACAAGATATTCATTGATCAGAGCAAAACACACAAAACATTTACAGGAAAAGATGAAGAATAGGAGTTGAAATATTCTTGTTGCCTCCTCTCACAGATGTTTCCATTTCACTGACTTACAATAGGTAGGCAATATACTCTACATCAAGACTATCTATATTAACGAGTCAAATTAATGTCAATAATAAAACTGATTGAAGAGATGCCTACATTTATCTTGCTACAAGTTTCAGGGGTGTTTGTATATATCAGCTTTAAGAAAGTTAAGGTGGGCCTAGGCACTGCATTTATTTAATATGATAAACAATAAAAGTATTTTTACTCTTTATGGTATAGTGTATGTGATCCAGCAAAACCAGTTAGTAACTTCTAGAATAAGCATATAAAAGAATTCCTGGAATGACTTAATCTATTTAAGCAAACAGCTACAGCTCCTCCTACTTTCAAATATTTTCCCAATATGGTACAGTCCAAAGCAACAATCTCTTCTGAACTTACATTTGTTCTTTATTCTATGATGGAACTGGGTCAGTACCAAAGACTGTGCATCCAATACCTTGTCAGATTCAGTCTGTATGTCAGTGCTCAGCAAACTCAAATGAATTCAAAACCATGCATGAGAGACCACAAGTGAACAAAGCAAGTCCTTCCTATCATATTACCCATATAGTATAATCACAGGTAACAACAACATTATTATAACAGAGAAAGCGCTCTATATTTCTTTTTATTACAGAAACACCTTATTGACCAAAACTGCTAAATTTTCTATTCTAACTAGAGTACTGAAAAATAGGATGAAAAGTAGCAGTCTTGCCATTCAAGTTGAGCGACCACACTCCTGAATAGCAGGTGCATCACCCAATTTAAGAAAACATACTTAAGATATGAGCTCCATTTCCATTCTTTTCATTTCAGTGTGTGAGAGCATAAGAATCTATACAGTGCTTCAAGAGCAGAATTATAGGTTATTTCAATACTTGGTCTCCCAGAAGATCTAGATAAGGCACATAGGGATATACACATTACAGGAATAAAAAAACATTCACAAAGAATACCATTAAATCACAAAGTTGCTATATTCATATTGCCCTGCTTTACAATTTAAAATTTTATGTACAATGAATCTATTAATTTAGAAAAGATTAAAATTGTAAGTGGCTGAAGACAATTGTGTTCCCTCATAGTCCTGTTAACAAACCCCTTCTAATGTTAAAAAAAAAAATAATAAGTAAACAAATAATTGAGAACCTTGAACTTATTGGACAGATTTTGAGAGGAGGTGAAAAGGATTCAGAAAAGTAGTCTGGAAACCTAGGACACTTACAGTAGTGTATCAAGCTATTTATACTTCTCACACCTAGAACACATTAAATCAAAAGGCAGCACAGCTATTCAAGGGACAACATAGTAAGCCTTTAAAAACATAACAGTCTACTGTCATCAAGCATCATCTGGACCTTTTTTGGTTTTGGGTTTTTTTTTGGCAAAGTGGCATAAAGATTATCTGCTTATAAAAATACATAGATTGTAATGGCTGAATTCCAACTAATTTTCAGAAAGAAGGGGTGCAGCTCTCTGTTGTTGTTGTAGATAGATTTTCATAGGTAACAAGGGTATAAACAAGCATCAGATACAGTTCAACAACTGCATTTTGGAAAGGAACAAATAAAGACAGAATAGTCTAAAAAACAACGGGAAAGAAGGAAAGGACTCAGTGCGTGTACTTCTTCCCTTATTCCACTCCACAAATGAATCTTAAAGGTAGCCCTGTTTTTCATGTTTAGCCCCATTTCCCCATTATCTCCTTTCTTTGTCCCCCGAAATCATTTATTCCTTTATTTGCCTACTTCCTTGTTCACTTAAACTAGTATTTTTCTCAATATCTACATCCTATTAAATTAAATACAAGAAAATAATGCAGATACACAGAAACCATGATAATTCAACATTTAAGTTACATCTCATGAAGTAGCCGTTTGTTTAAAAGTCTTTTGAATATGTTCTTGAGTTAGAATCACATCTTGTTGTATTACGTATTTTTACAATCATATAACGTAATGAATTACAGATCTCTTTTTAGAATATAATCTAATTGTAGAAGAAATGCATTGATGTATTCAAGAACAACTTTTTTTCCCTACTTACAGTTCAACTAACTCCAGAAATGTTCTGTACATTTTAAATTGAACTTTTTATGAATGTTCTCACTCACTGGAAAGACCACACGCTTGGGAAGAATTAGTCTTTATCTCGACTTATAAAACTTACATTATATTAGCTCTCCATTTTTAAACAGACCCAGTTACTGCTTTATCATTTATTACAGATTCAGCTCATTAATGAATTTAACATCTATTTTACTCATACATAGGGCACATATACACATACTCTTCCTTAAATTGGAATAAAACATTTTTGCCTACTGCAGTGCCAGTAAATAAAAACATGCAGGGATTTTTTTTTTCCAAATTTATTTCAAACCAAGCATTGTTTTTTCTATTCCCCTTACTTCACAATACTTCAATGCCAAGTACATACTGGAAAACAGACTACAAAAAACTAACTATCCCGCATGAGCCAATACACAACCAGCTTTTCTATCTTTAACATAGAATGAAACAATTTGCACCGCTACACTGCTTGGAAGTAGAATTTGTTATTTTTAGGATGGTGGTATTACTTCTAACATGGTTCTAAAATATTTTCAAGAAATACATTAACTTTTCACACTACAAAACCAAATAAATACCATCAGCCATCTTAGCTACATATATCTGAATTACCAAAGGGGAAAACAGATGACTGACAAAACTTCGGCAAATTGATGATTAATTTCTTAAATTAGATTTAGACAAGTGATCTTTCATGAGAAATTATACCAATGGATCACAATTAATAGCAGAGTATTCTAAGCAGGAAAATAAGCCATGTACTCTGAATTATGCACCTATTTTGTAAATTTATTCAAACACAAGAGTCAGCTTATGCTGCCCCGAAACACTGTTTTCTAGCAGGGTTTGGTTACATACCATCCTACAGGGAAACACCGTACCAGTTCTTCAGCATTACCTTTTCAGTTTTGTTATGTCCAAAAGGTTTAGGGTTTGGGTCACATGTTTTGTTCTCACAAGTTTAGACATCTTGTGTTGGCACTAGAAGAGTAGCCTGCCCTGACAAGTAGGTGGCAAGAGATCTTTGCCAAAATAACCACAGCTGAACTCCTTTGAACAAGTCAGCGTAGGTACTGACAGACTCCCCAGCAGTCCTTTGCAGGCTGCAGACAAAAGCATTCATCTAACTTCTGTGCAGGCTTTTCAACCTGGGGGTTACTTCCACACTATCAGAGCAGAGACTTCATGTGTCCCTGCTCAAAACTCTTGGTGTGTCCCCGGTCACCGGTGCAACTGTAATATGGCCACAACATAACTGCTCATAGCTCTATGACTTTCTGACCATGTATTAATATGGAAGGAGGCACCTTTCCTTAATTTTGAATGTTATTAAATATTAATTCAAATGGCACAGACTTTGTGAAAGTAAACAACATTGCACTGTTAAGCAAAAGAATATTGGTTTCTTTTCGAAGTTGCAAGAACTGTCACAAACTATCCTTAAAGACTCTAGAGTGATTTGAATTCATTATTTAATCCTATCAATTTTATGCCAATTCCATCTGGAATCTCATCAGATTAATACAATTTACACATCTCTACAGTAAACTACTTTTAAAAAATAATATTATTTTCAAAGAAATAAGGGTAAAATGTAAGTCACAGCAGGTACAAACGAAAACAAATCAAACACTCAAACACAACAAAAATGGAATATTCTTAAATTAAGTTTTTATCTTGAAAGAAGCTTACCAAACTGTTGTTTCCACCTGACTGTCGTGCAGCTGTCGATTGTCTAACTGGGCAAAGAGAGGAAAAAGAACTTGGATCCCTCCAATGGAATGAATTGCACTGTGAATGGAGTGGGTTACGATAGCTTTCACATCCTAAATTAATAAAATAAATAAATAAAAGGAAAAATCTCAGTTAATCTCAATTTTAAAGGACAGTTACAAACATAAATTGGGAACACTTTAAACTAAATCAGACTTGTTTTAACTTATTTTCATTACTTATTCAACTATAATCACTATACTTAAAGGCAAACTATACTTCAAGGCAAACATTAAACAGAAAAACTTCAGTAATGCGACAAACTATGCCTTATGGTATAATGTATATATTTCTTACTGAAGAAATAACCATTTTTTGCTCTAGAAAGTGAGCAAAGAAAGAACAGTTCAAGTGATAGGTATATTGAGAGCTGAAATAATATAAAATAACAATCTCTTTGTACACTAGCACACAAATCCTCTCATTATCCAAATGATGCTGAGCTAACAGCAATCATAGAACATCAATTTAGTAGCACAAACCTGAAGCATAAGAGCATGGGGGGAATGTACAAAAATTGAAGGATTTTCCTTTGGTGAGGATTCGAGGCATAGTTGCGCATCAGTAGCTTTCGCATTATAAGTAAAAGCAATGCTACTTGCAAGTTTCCCATCATATAGCACTTGCTTATGGTGCTCAGCCAGATGAATGTCACTCTCAGATTTAAACTTGAATGTGCTCTGAAGAAAAAAAATTTAAAAAATTGCAACATAAATATTTTAGAAAAAATCGTTGCCACAAAATATGCAAAAATACATTGGACCTGGGATGGAACATAGAGAGTGATAAACTTTGTTTTAATTTTCTAGTAATTTAATGCTGCTGAACAATGAGACAATTTTTTTATTTACTCTACTCCACATCAAAATGTCAATATGATATTTGGTATTTTGACTTATTTCTCCCTCCTTTCAGCATCAGTGTTAACAAGTTTCAGAAGTAACTATCTGGAAGAAATGTGTCACATTAAACAGCTACAAATATGTTAAAATAAAAAATCGAGCATACAATGCATTAAAAATAAAGAACAAATTAAATGCCTTGCATTTTAATTTATATAAACTCACTTAAATTAGAATATAGAATCCTATACCATTTTGATTAAAGGAATAGTTATTTTCAAATAGCATGCTTCATTAACAGTCAGGAGTGTATATAAACAAGTTACACAAAAAAAATCATAAAAAAATTATAAATGTCATATTTCAATTTCATGATACTCAAAGTTTTCACAAAGGAAGACTTCTTACAAAGAAAATTTCCATTATTCTTAAACATATCGTGATTCATATCTGATCTAAAACTAGTTTTTCTGGCAACACTGACAAGTCAATCAAGCACAAGAAGATAGATTTCTGCCTTTCTGCAAAGCGTTGTCAGATTGACTTGGCATATGACAACTTTTGCATGTAAAAACTATTTGACAGTAGCAAAAAGACAACTAGTAGTAACAAACAGTGCTGAACTGATCTAATTAACACTATCTATCTATAAAATATGCTATATTTGTAAAATTGAGTGGATGAGGGAAAGACTGTGGATGTTGTCTACCTGGACTTTAGCGTAAAGCCTTTGACATCATTTCCCACAACATTCTCCTGGAGAAACTGGCTGTTCATGGCTTGGATGGCCATACTCTTCACTGGGTAAAAAACTGGCTTCATGGCCAGGCCCAAAGAGTTGTGGTGAATGGAGTTAAATCCAGTTGGTGGTCGGTCACAAGTGGCATTCCCCAGGGCTCACTACTGGGCCCAGTTCTCTTTAGTATCTTTATCAATGATGTGGACAAGGGCATCGAGTGCACCCTCAGGCAGTTTGCAGATGACACCACCTTGGGTGGGAGTGTTGATCTGCTTGAGGGTAAGCAAGGCTCTACAGAGGGATCTGGACATGCTCTATCAATGGGTCGAGGCCAACTGTATGAGGTTCAACAAGGTTCAGTGCCAGGTCCTGCACTTGGGTCACAACCAACTCATGCAACGCAACAGGCTTGGGGAGGAGTGACTGGAAAGCTGCCGGGTGGAAAAGGACCTGGGGGTATTGCTGAATATGAGCCAGCAGTGTGCCCAGGTGGCCAAGAAGGCCAACAGCATCCTGGCTTGTATCAGAAAGACCATGGCCAGCAGGAGTAGGTAAGTGATTGTGTCCCTGTACTCGGCACTGGTGAGGCCACACCTTGAGTCCTGTGTTCAGTTTTGGGCCCCTCACTACAAGAAAGACATTGAGGTGCTGGAGCATGTCCAAAGAAGGGCAACAAAGCTGCTGAAGGGTCTAGAGCACAAATCTTATGAGGAGTGGCTGAGGGAACTGGGGTTGTTTAGTCTGGAGAAAAGGAGGCTGAGGGGAGACCTGATGGCTCTCTACAACTCCCTGAAAGGAGGTTGTGGTGAGGTGGGTGTCAGTCTCTTCTCCCAAGTAACAAGTGACAGGACAAGAGGAAATGGCCTGAAGTTTTGCGAGGGGAAGTTTAGATTGGATACTAGGAAAAAAGTCTTCACCAAAAAGAGTTATCAATCATTGGAACAGTTTGCCCAGGGAAGTGGTTGAGTCACCACCCCTGGAGGTATTTAAAAGACACATAGATGTGGTGCTTAGGGACATGGTTTAGTGGTTGGACTTGGCAGCTGCTGGAGAACCCTTGGAGCAGATCTGTCAGTCAGCCCTGTCCCATGCTTGGTGAAGTCAAGCAGAAGGGAGGCAGCTATGCCACACTGAAAATGTATGAGATGCAGGTACGATAACAGAGAAATGCAAGTAGGAAGGGCAAAAGTAAGTGAATGGGATGTCAGTGGTTTAATCTACATTTGGCAAAGAAGGATAATGTTATTTTTAGCTGCATTAGGAGGAGCGTTGCCAGCAACAGGAGAGAGGTTATCCTTCCCCTCTACGCAGCATTGGTGAGGCCACACCTGGAGTTAAAGGCTCCGCAGTACAAGAGAGCCATGGACTTACTGGAGAGAGTCCAACAATGGGCCACTAAAATTATGAAGCCACTGGAGCATATCTCTTGTGAGGAAAGGCTGAGAGAGCTGGGACTGTTCAGCCTGCAGAAAAAAGCCTCAGAGGGAAACTCAGCAATGTATATAAATATCAGAAGATATTTATATGTGCAAAGAAGATAGAATAAGGGTCTTCTCAGTGGTGCCCAGTAAAAGAACCAGAGGCAATGGGCACAAACTGCAACACAGGAAGTTCCCTCTGAACATCAGGAAACACTTTTTCACTGTGAGGGTGACTGAGCATTAGGACAGGTTGCCCAGCAAGGTAGCAGAGTCTCCATCATCGGAGATCTTCAAAAGCTGTCTGGACTCCCAGTGATCCCCACTTACTGCTCTGTTCATACTGCAAAGCTGTTCAGAACCAAAGAGACTTCCTTTCAGCTGAAACTGAAATGTCCCCCAACTGGTGGTAGTCATTCAGCCCAAAGGATCAGACTACAACCAATCTGAAGTAAAACCCCCAAAATACACAAACTATGGGTATTCAGCCCTCAGTCCCAAATGTTTTAATCTAGAAATGTGTTCCTATTGTGCCACACTACTTACTGAAGTAGAAAAACCCCAACATTGAGTATCATGCTTAGAACTTCAGAGTTAGCTCTCTGTTGATATGGCTGGCTACATCTCACTTATCAGGAAATGACTGCTACAGATTACAGATTTGTCCTGAGGAAGGTAATGATTTATTTCTCCCCAGAAGACATTTTTAACTTTACAGATAAATCTCTGGGTACTTTCTGCAGAGAGAGAAATAATTTAGTGATTTCATTGATTTCCAAAGATTTCTGCTTTCTGCATGTACTATATTTTGATGTTTAACCACATGAAAACACTTCTTACCTAGAAAATTCGTCATGCCTCTAGGCTTTGTCAGATCTCAAAGCTCAAAATGTTTTACCTCTATATAGTTTTTCTTAATTTTGCCATTCTAAATATGTCAAAGTTTTTCAACACAAAATTCATATCATTTCATTACCATGAAATTTTGTACTTTTCTAAATTGCATAAGTTAAAATAAATTAAGTTTTGTAACAAATTTTGGCATTATTCTACCTCCTAGTTTTCAGTGTTTATTATGTGTCAAGAATTTATCAGAAACCATTGTTTGAAAGTCAAGCACAAATAAGTTATGAATATAATACTGCTTCACATTTTTGGGAGAAAAAGAAGAATTAAAGGGACTTTCTGTCATCAAAGCATAACAAAAGTGATCATAAATTGGAAATGCTAGTCTCCTACCCAAAAGATTATTATAACAGAATGGAAAGAGAGGCTACAAATTCTGATATATGATACTCCTTTGTTACTACCATTGATCTACAGAAAGAGAAAAGATATTCAGCTCAAATTGCAAATGAGTAGTTACTGGTGACTGAAGGAATGCAACTTTGAGATCTGGTACAACCAGTGTGAGGGCATAAAGACAGCAAAAAAGAGCCTTAGTTTTACCATATTCTATATATGGTAAAAATATATATGGGATCCACTGTCTTCTCCAGTATAAGAAGCTGTGCTTGATCAGGACCACTACTTAAACACCAGCAGCTTTCCCTTTTCTTTAGCAGCAAGAGTGCTGCTTTTTGAATTACCATTCACCTCATTTTATTATTGTAGGTTCAGCAAATTTGAATTGTCAAGAGTATTTTGTGTGTGTTTGTATGTGCATGCATTAATGTATTTTTATTCCAACCTCTGTAGACAAAAAGATTGATACTGCAGCAATGATCAAGAGCAAACTCAGATGCAGCAACATACGGAATAATCTGATAACTTGTTCTGAAATGCATATGGCAGGGTTAAGAGGAGTGGTGCAGACTTGACAGGGCAATTAGGAAAGGCCTTTGTTGAAACATCCCTTTCTAAACAGCACCACACCCTGCTATGAGATGCATCTCTTCCTCCCACGTTATCTTTCTTGCCCCTCTATTCTGTGTTTATCAGCCCCTCACAATCTCAGCTGAGACAGATTCTCTCTCTGCTGCTCGGGAACAAGGATGACTAGCAGAAAAAGCACAGTGAGAGCAAGGATGCTGCTCTCATTTCCTTTTCCTTTCTAGCAACTGAAAGTGTCAACATAGTAGATAAAAGTCCTGTTCAGCAATTGCAAGACTCAAAACGAGCGTGCTTTATTACAGATAAAACCTGTGAATGCAAGTATTGAATTCTACTATGTTTCTATTAAATATAATTTAAAATTTCAAGACACTGTATTGGGGAATTTGGGAAGACTTGCAGGGAAGAGACAAATCGCATAGTTCTACTGCCAGTATATTTTCCTCTCTTTCCCAAAAACTTTCCCTTGTAAAAGTTTAATTACATGTAATTTCTATGCAATAGTTACTAAGTGCGGCAGCTTTTCCATATTGCTACTCACACAATCAATGTAACATTTTTTGTTCAAAAAAAAAAAAAAAAGACCTTTTGCTACAATTGAAAATCTAGTATTTCAAAGTAAACTCTATTTGCTTAATAAATAAATTTTTATATTGAGACATGCTGGTTACAACTAAATGCATTCAGAAGGACATGTTGAGCAAGACCAGCATGGAAGTATTATGAACTGTTTCTATGTTACAACATTCTGTAATAAGCATGTAATGTGCAATAAATAATATAATATA